TTCTCTTCCGACGCTACGGTAAGCATGACCGGTTATGTGTACCCAACCATGAGCCAATCATCGCTCATTTCTTGGATTTGGCTCATGGCCGGAGTGGACATTTCGGTGTTGAGAAGACATACGGGAATCTGTTGGAAAAGTTTGTGTGGCCTGGTATGAAAAGAATGGCGCAAAGGTTTGTGGCTGAGTGTGAAGTTTGTCAACGCATTAAACCGTCTCGGCAAAAGCCTTATGGGCTACTGCACCCTCTTCCTATTCCTGACGGTCCGGGGGAGTCTATTTCTATTGACTTCACGGACATGGGGAAGAAGAGCAGAAACGGTTATTCCCAAGTTATGGTGATTCTCGATCGTTTTTCGAAGTTTTTGAATCTGATCCCACTACCACCTCACGCCCCAACTGACCTTGTGATCAAAGAGTTTCACAAAAGATACATTCTCCAGTGTGGGCCCCCGAAAACTCTTGTGAGTGACTGGGACACTAGGTTCATAAGTGCAGAATGGAAGGACTTCACCTCCCAGGTTTATGACATGAAACTCAAGATGACATCTGGTCGACATCCCGAAGTCAAAGGATTGGCCGAGGAGATCAACCAGACTGTGATCCAACTTCTCCGAGCCTTAATTGTGCCTGATCAGAACTCTTGGGATGAGGAATTGCCGATCGTGCAAGGGTTGTATAACAACTCCATCCACTCCTCCACCGGGATGACGCCGAACCGGCTGCATCTTGGATGGAAAATTCGCAATCCTCTATCCTACCTGTTCCCTGGACAGCCTCCTGGTCTGACACCTGGCCAGCCAGGCTACAGCGCTAAGTATGATCGGTTGCTCAAGGTTGTTGTCGCAGCTATGGAACGGCGACACAGTGCCATGATTAAACATGCTAACAAGAAGCGCCAGCCTGCACCATTCACAGTGGGAAGTTATGTCTGGGTCAAAATGTCTGAGTTTTCTGAAGAAGAAGGTGTATCACGAAAGCTTCTTCCTCAGTATTACGGTCCATGGAAGGTGTTCAACCAGGTAGGGAGTGATTCCTTTGGCCCTTCGTATACGATCGATGTGCCTGCTCATCTACGCACATATCCAATCTTTCACGCATCGAAGTTGTTCCCGTATGAATCACCCGAAACTTTCAAGTATCGAGAATCGATGATTCCCCGCGCAATCAATGGTGGTCATGAGGTTGATAAGATTGTGGAACACAGCGGGAAGGGAAGAAACAGACAGTATAAAGTCCATTTTCTGTACCACCCGTTGGATGATTTCCACTAGATCGCTAAGAGAGACTTACTGCAGAGTGCACCTCGCATTGTTAACGCCTATGAACGATTGATCAGTTCTGAACAGCAACCAAAATTCACTGCTACCCTGACTCCTACGGAACACAACCGATCGCTCTTTGCTATCTACGCCTATGATGCATTATGCAAGGACTCTGATTGAGTTACTCGCTCGAAGGGACCTCACTCTTGAGGGGGGGGTAGTGTAATCACCCGTCAAAACACAGACTGAGAACACCGCTGATTTCTGAAGTTCTGCCGATGGAATGGATGCCTTGCTGAGATTCCCGCATTCTGTTGTGTTTCTAAGTCTGTCTGTGTGTGCGTGCTTGTGACCTGCATGCCTGCCTGAGTGCTTGTTGGTATGAGTGTGTGTGAGACCCGCAAGGGTACCTGCTTGTTTGGTAGGCCCGTAGGGCCGGTACTTACCTGTGGCCGTGGCATTGAGGGTTGTAGCAGGGAAAACACTCAAGTGGCGAAGCTAGCGGCCCTAAGGCCCTTGGGGTAGCGGAAAAACACTCAAGTAGGCCGGTAGGCCGATACTGCACCCCACTGCAATTGGCGTGAAGGGGTGCTGGAGGCCGAGCAGAAAAAGACAAAGTTGGCATTTTAGAGTCCAGTAGCGGTAGGGTAGGTCTAGGCCGGTACCAGTCCAACCACTCTGAGTCTAGAGCCTGTACGGGTAATATCAGGGTCTGCAATGATGTTTCCCTCCGAAACGGAGGAGGTACCGGTTGCTTGGAGAGGCCGAGCGGCCTGGAAGTCACCGCCCAGGAGGCAAGTAGGCCGCTATATCAAGAGGCAGGGCAAAGAGCCCGGCCTCATTCTTCAGTGTGCAAGTTGGGCGTCACGCTGCTGGAGCGCTGGCTGGAGTAGCGCTGGGCACTACAGCGCTGCTGGGAGAAAGAAGCCGGGAGCTTCCACCTTGGCTATGGTGGAGCTCTACCGGTAGGAGGAGGAGGGAGAAGGGGACCAAGGAGGAGAGTGGCGAGGTACTTACTGGCTATGGTAGACACCATCTTCATCTCCTTGCTAGGCGCTGCATCAGGAAGGCCCCAGTGGGGGTAGTGCCGCATCAMRGAAGCTCGGACAGAGTCASGCATGGYGGTTGAGTGGGCAGCGGCATAGCTGCTGGGTGATGACCTTGAAGTAGAGCAGCGGTGTAGCTGCTTTGGGTTGTCCTTTGTACCGGAGGCTGAAGCCTCAGTAGTCCGCCATAGCCTCGGCCTGTATGAGGAGGAAGAAGGACTGCCATGGGTATGGTGGACCTCATCTTGTGCCTACAGTAGAAGTGGGATTCGGACATTGATTCTGGTTCAGCTGTTCAACATTATTATTGTTTGTTTATTGTTTGAATGAGAGAGGAGGAGATAAAGAGGAGAAGGTTGTTGAGCGAAGAAGAAGAGCTTTGTCTTTGGTCTATGCTAGAGTACATCATCTGTTTCTTCTTTCTTAATTCTTCTTCTTCTTCTTTCCCTCTCTCTCCTCTCAAGTTCTTTCATTTCTTTAGCGATTGGACAGCATTGGGCTCAAGTTCATTCATTTCTTTTCACAATTGGACAACATTGTACTTTCTGATGATTGTGGACTCCGAAATTGGCCAGGATCGTAACATTGTTATTATTTTTTACTTAAAAAAATTATGTTCGCCCAAACACGTTCACGAGCCGTTCGCGCGAACGCGGAGGGGCGCAAAGACGTTCGCCATGCTACGCAGCTTACGTTGTTTTCGAATATAACGTACGTGCATTATACAATGAGTTTTAGGGTACAACTTTGCAGGAGCCTGTTGTACTGACGTCATTTTCATTTTTTTTCTCGAATTTGGTTGGGATTTTCTGCAAGACCACCGGGCAAAAGTTGTTGTATTTCTTTTATTTTTCCGTATTTTTTTCAATTTTTTTAATTAAAATATCAAAATTCTTAAGAAATCGGAACACACTTCAAAATACCCTACAAGATATTCTTGTTCTTGTTTTAATAACTTTTTTTCTTCTCGAATTCGGTTGCGAATTTCGACATGGCCCTCAGCCTCAGGTAAAAGTTGTTTGTAACTTTGTATTGCAATGTTTTACAAGTTTCTTTTATTTCAGAATTTCCTGATTGTTTTGAAAATTTGAAATTCGGGGAGCCCATTTTTCCAAGGTAAGTTGAATAGAACGAACATTTGTTTTTTTTTCTGGTTAAGACAGTAGCGCTGCCCCCTCCTGCAACATCTTTTTCTTGGCCTCAAATCCCTCCTCTTTTGGTCTATGGCCTCATTGGCCTGTCTGGCTTCCTCTATCCGCTTCTCCTCATTATCTGTCTCTCCTCCTGGCCAGCTGCAGCCATGGCAGCCTGGATGGCCTCTTCTGCCTCCTCAAGCTCCCTCATGGTCTTGTCTGGCTGCTCCCCAGCTGCAACATCTCTCAACATCCTCCGGTCAGGAGCACTTAGTCCTCAGGTGCCTCCTCTTTCTCCACCACCACTTTCACATTCTGCCCCCCTCCTCCTTTCTCATCTTCTTTTTCCTCCTCTTCATTCTCCACCTGCTGCATCTTCTCCTCCTCCAACTCGTTTCCTTTTCTCTCCTTTTCTCTCTTTTTCTGCCTTTCCACTTCGCTTTTCCTCATCCGTCTTCCTCGTCTCCTTCCGGGTCCCCTGGCCGCAACATCTTCCCGGATCGGTGATCTATTGCATGCATACGGCACATCCGAGAGAAGCCTAGCGGGAACAGCATCCGGAGCAAGGGCTCCCAAATGACAGTAAGGGCGAGGAAAGCAAACATTGGGTAGTCATGCATGGTGATACTCCAGTACAACCGCAAGTCCACTCCACCTCCTCACCATGTAGACCTAGCCCTCAGCACTTACAACCTCAACACCATGTAGACAATAACTCACCCATCCCCTGCTCCAAGGGGGAAGTCTCTTTGGGCGACATGCTAACATTTCCCTGCTCACTACTCAGATCAAGAAAGACCTATGCTAACGACCTTGAACAATGCAAATGGTAAGGAATGAAAGATGTAAACGCTCACGTCAGGACTAATTGTAAGCCACAGGAATACATGCTCTCATCTGATCAGGTCCTAGAGAGTCCATTCACACAGACTTTACAAGCCTGGTGAAGAGTACAAATGGAGAGGGGATTAGGTGGTAGTTATACAGAATAGATTCTCGAAGCATGCAAAATTAATGCTTTGCCCGCAGAAGTGATCAGAACTTGTCCTCCATTTCCTCCTCGTCATTTGAAGGAGGAGAGGAGGGGCACAAGGAGGAAGAAAGCATGAGGAGGAAATGGAGGACAGGAGGAACAGGAGGAACAGGAAAATGACGGGGAATCGGGAGGCGAGGACTAGGAAGAGGAAGCGGACAAGGAGGAGGAGGAAGATAAGAAGAAAGAAAGAAAGGACGAGGACGAGGAGGAGGGGGAGGAGGAGGAAGAAGGAAGAAAGAGAATGAAAGGAGACGAAGGAAGAAAGAGAATGAAAGGAGACGAAGGAAGAAAGAGGAGAAGACAATGGAGAAGAAGAAGGAGAAGAAGAAGAAGAAGACTTGGGTATGGACACAGGGTGTCATTGCGCCATGAAGAGGCACATCTCACATGTATCCCAAGGACCCAACAAACACATTCACAGATACGGCAAAACCTCAAGGAAGCAGTGCTAAGCCTCCCAGAGAAGACTTACACAGCTGAGAACTTCAAGGTATCGCCATATCTGTGCCCTCATGCGCACCTTGCATAATGTGCTCCTTGTTGCGCAAGTCGCCATTAATGAACACAACACGTCCTTGAAGGACAGCAGTCCCCAAGATGCCTAGCTTTTCTTCCTCCGAAAGGACCAACTGAGGAGCCAGGTCAAAGATCCGCACAGTCCATTCTTCCTCAAGGAGCTTCTTCACTAGATGCCGACCAACAAACCCTCTACCACCTGTGACAAGGCAAAACTTCTTTTGTAATGAAGACAAGACACACAACAATGACCACAGCAGAAAATTTGAAATGGTCAAGGACTGGTTTTCTGAACATCCACTCTTCCCAATACCTGCTTCACAAAATGACACGTGAAAACCCTTTTGCACATGGGCAAAGGCACAGCTGGACTTCCCATGAAGACCACAAAGTGGGAAGAGACCAACAAAAACCTGAGCCAGACGAGAAAGCGCTTAGGCTGACCGATAGAAGTGGGCTTTCAATCCAGAATTCAGTGCTGCAAACTAGCCTAGGGAAATCCCCCGTGGTGATCTCCGCAAGGGGCGATAGGAGACATCTGCAACCAATAGGTTATAAAATGGAGATGGCCAGAGCAGACACAACTCTCCACTGAGCATGGTTTGGGGGATACCGGACGACTTGGGAAAAAATGAAAGAGTGTAACATCACCATAACAACATCAGTGAAGACTTTGCAAAGTGGTTGTGGGGGAGAGAAAGAGGATTGACTAACACAAGTGATCTCGACACAGCACAGCTAATACAGCCAACAGGGAGATGAGAGAGAGTCAGAGAATAAGCTGGACTGAGAACGCAAAGCTGGACTTCCCATCTATACCGAAAAGCAGGATACGGCCATAAAATACGAAAACTAGGCAGCGCTTGGGCTTCCATAACGTGTCCGTAGTACGCGCATCACCCGCACAAAACAAAAGATGAATAACTCAGTTTTCAGATTTCTGTCAATCACACTCAAAAAGTGTGACAGGGTTCGAACTTCGAAGTATGGAATTCTGTTTTTTCTGATAGTAAAAGGTTAGCAAAACAGTCCTTCGGAACATCCGTTAAAATTGGAATGATACAGGGAAGATTAGCATGGCCCCTGCGCAAGGATGACACGCATAAATCGAAATGTCCAAAAAAAAAAAAAAAAAAAAAGTTAGCAAACAGGTGTCACCATATTGCAGGCAACTGATATAACTGTAATGACCTGCAAAATCACAGACTGAGAATTCTGCTGTTTTCTGAGTTTTGCCGTTGGATTGTGTGACTTGCTGAGAGTACTAAGTCCGTGTGTGTGCATGTTTGCTGAGTTGCAGTGTGTTGTCTGGTTACATGATTGCTCGGATCTGTGTGTGACCCGCCAGGGTACTTGTACGTTGGAAAGGCCCTCGGGCCATGTTTTTGTGGGTTGCAGCGGAGACATAGCGGTAGGCTAGCCCACACAAGATGGAAAACACTTGAGTAGCAGGTAGGTAGGCAAAAGAAACTACCTTTAGACGTCAAAGGAATTTCTGAGTCCGGTAGACTTAGGTCTAGGGATACCGGTCCAGTAGTCTGAGTCTAGGGCCTGTAGAAAGGATATCAGACCTGCAATGATGTTTCTCTCCGAAAAAGAGGCCGGTACCGGTAGCTTGGGAGGCCGAGCGGCCTGGAAAGTCACCACCCAAGGAGGCAGCTGCCTGGTCAGGAAGAGCAATGAGCTCTTCATTACATTGCCGTGTGCAAGTTTGGCATCACGCTGCTGGAGCGAGCGCTTGGAGTACCAGCACTGGAGAGGCAGAAGGTGGGCTTGGCCCTTGCCATGGCTATGGTGGAGAGGACCAATCTTCACCTTCTTGGTTGGCGCTGCACCTGGAAGGGTCCAAAGGGGATTGGCTTCATGAAGGGAGACTTCGGGGCAGTGTTCAGCATGGCGGGCAGTGTACCAGGGACACGTCTTTGCGTTGTCCTTGGAACATTGGAGCGGGGTTCCGCTAGTCCACCATAGCCATCCATTTAGCCAAGTAGGAAGGTGTAGATGATGGCTATGGTGGACTCATGAGTTGCTGGCAGTAAAGGGGAGACTCGAATACTGGTTCTGGTTCATTTTTTCATTGTTCTTATTAGTATTTATTGAAAAAAAGAAGTTAGGGGAGATAAGGAGGTCGAAGGTGATGGAAAGTTGGAGAGGGATTTGACATTGGTCTTTGCTGGTGTACATCTTCTTCTTCTTCTTCCATTCTTACTTCTTTTGGGATTTGACATTGGTCTTTGCTGGTGTACGTCTTCATTGGTCTTTGCTGGTGTACGTCTTCTTCTTCTTCTTCTTCTTCTTCTTCTTCTTCTTCTTCTTCTTCTACTTCCATTCTTACTTCTTTTTCTTCCCTTGTATATCTATTTCTCTTTCCAAGTTCTTTTTCGTTTCAGTTGGAATGGCATTGTCTTTCCTTGAGTTATTGCACTGCTGGATAACCAGATCCTGACAATTGGTATTGAGGCGGTACTAACTTGCTGGCAAGAGGGTGTCTTGTTGCCCAACCCTAATTCGAGGTAATTAGGGTAAGTTACCTCGGATTAGGGTAGGTACGTCGGATCTGCCCCCACCTGGTCTAGGGCATGGTTGTCATGCGGAGATCCCCACGACGTCAGCCCAGGTTGTCTATTGATCCACGCACCCCACCGCGGGGATCCCTGACCCCGGACCCTTGGACCCTGGACCCCACACCCTCGGACCCCCGAACCACCCCAACCCCACGCCCACCCCTGCACCCACCCCCATGGGGGTCCCGACCCCCACGCCCATCCCTGCACCCACCCCCATGTGTGGGTCCCAACCTCCACGCCCACTCGTGCGCGCGCACCCACCCCCGCGTGGAGGTCCCGGCCCTCTCGTCCACCCATGCGCACGCACCCGACCCCCCAGGTCCCCCCCCCCCCCCCCCCCCCCCCCCCCCCCCCCCCCCCCCCCCCCCCCCCCCCCCCCCCCCCCCCGCAGGGATCCCTGACCCAGGACCCCTGGACCCTGGAACCCGGGCCCTCGGACCCCCGAACCACCCCAACCCCACGCCCACCGCTGCACCCACCCACATGGGGGTCCCAACCCCCACGCCCATCCCTGTACCCACCCCCGTGTGTGGGTCCCGACCCCCGCGCCCACCCGTGCACGCGCACCAACCCCTGCGTGGAGGTCCCCGCCCTCTCGTCCACTCATGCGCATGCACCCAACCCCCGAGCTCGACCCCCGCACCCCCCCCCGGGGATCCCTGACCCCGAACACTTGGACCCTGGACCCTGGACCCCTGAACCCCGGACCCCTGAACAACCCCAACCCCACGCCCACCCCTGCACCCACCCCCATGGGGGTCCCGACCCTCACGCCCGTCCCCACACCGACCCCTGTGTGTGGGTCCCGACCCCCGCGCCCACCCGTTGTCGGGCGGCTCTAGCCATACGCCGCCCTTCACTTCCTTGATGAAAGCACTTGAGGAGAACTGGGTTCGGACAATTTACCTTGCGGGATCGCATCCGACATCAAAAGATAAGATATAAGATTCACGCAACGAGTGTCGAGGCCGAGGCATCAGGGAAAAGCGGATCCATGAACTCTGGGTAAGCGCCCCTTTGCGCGCACTATTGAGGCATATCATCGCCGCCCTTCACTTCCTTGATGAAAGCAATTGAGGAGAATTAGGTACAAACAATTTACCTGGCGGGACCCTCGACCCCTGGACCCCGGACCCCTGAACAACCCCAACCCCACGCCCACCCCTGCACCCACCCCCATGGGGGCCCCGACCCTCACGCCCATCCCCACACCCAACCCTGTGTGTGGGTCCCGACCCCCGCACCCACCCGTTGTCGGGCGGCTCTAGCCTTACGCCGCCCTTCACTTCCTTGATGAAAGCACTTGAGGAGAACTGGGTTCGGACAATTTACCTGGCGGGATCGCATCCGACATCAAAAGATACGATATAAGATTCACGCAACGAGTGTCGAGGCCGAGGCGTCAGGGAAAAGCGGATCCATGAACTCTAGGTAAGCGCCCCTTTGTGCGCACTATTGAGGCATATCATCGCAAGGCATAAAGGAGCAGCTACTACAGAGTAAAGCCGGAGGCTACGGATGACGGACAAGAACAAGGAGGTCGGGCTTACATTAAGTGCCGGGCGATGGGCCAGACAAAGAGAGCCCTAGGCCTTTAAGGCGAGCCCTCAGGGGGACTAAGAGGCGGTCGAGATTGGAGTTCATTGTGGAATCAAAGAAAAAGGGGAAATCGCTGCTCGGGCGCACTTGGGACCTTGACATAAGGGCTTTAAGTAAAGCCAAAAAGAGACATGCGGGGCCTAAGCTGAGAAAAGGGCCCTTGGTGTGAACTTATTGATCCCGGGGCTGGGTCCTACGGAATTTGGCAAGAGCCTAGCATTTTCTGATGGGGACCACGAGGATCCAGACAGGCTCGGACCTAGGATCGAAATGAGGCTTGGTACCAGGGCGCTGCATAAGGCCCGGTACTCGACAAAAAGGCCCCTTTCACTGGCCCAAACAGGTCTAGGCATAGGCTCGAGGGAGCTACGGTACTGGGGCACTACAAGGGCGTGTGGCAGCGCACGAACCGGGCCCTTGGAACACAGCCAGGGCACTGCGTGCAGTATCGCACGATCGGGCCATTGGGGCGTAGTGGGACATCCGTTTGAACGGGCCTCCGGGACTTTGAACGGGGTCGTGACTTGGGGACGCGACCGGGACTTTGACGATGCCAGGACTTTGACAGAACCGTCGGGCAGGGTTATGACTTTTAAGACCGGATCGGGACATCGAGTCGGACTGAGACTTCGGGACCGGATCATGGCCTGGCGTGTGGGTTTGGACTTTGGATCAAGACGGGCCTTTGGATGAGGCTGGGGTACTTTGGATGAAGCTAGGGTACTCTGGATCAAGGTGGGACCTTCGGACGGAGCAAGGAAATTTTAGACCAAGACGGGGCAGTTTGGACCAAGATAGGATCACGAGGCTATCAGATTCGGGCCGGGGACATCGGACTGAGGCCGGGACCATCATACCAGGCCAAGGGTGTCAAATTCAGGCCGGGACATCAGACTAAGGCAGGGAGACTCGACAGTCGGACAGGGAATTGTGAGACCTGACCGGTGTCTTCTTTGATTCTGGCCGAGACATCTGAGATCAGGAAGGAGAATGCCAGAGACCTTGTTCAAGAAAGACTGTCACGCGAAAGGGCTTATGGTGAAACTCGATCG